ACACACACACACACACACACACACACACACACACACACACACACACACACACACACACACACACACACACACACACAGACACACACACACACACATCATCTTATTAATATTATTGACTTTCTTACATTTATAGGAACAGTAACAGGTGGGTAATACCAAATTTGAAAGATTTGTAAAACTGTAAACATCACAATTACTGACACACCAAAGGCATTAACACACATACGCACATTTCAAAAACATTTTTTTTAATGTGTTTTCACAACATGCGAGAAATTTTCACCAAAAGACCAGAGCAGTCTGCACAGCAAGATATTTAGTAGAGAAGGTGTTAAGAAATTAAGTGAGCTCATTACTTGATGATTTCTTGACTAATTTGTCTTTCAGGTCAAAGACATTTTTGGTGATTTGTTTTTTCATTTTCAGTTGTAAGAGAGTTTAGTTTTTTGGGTCCGGCTGCATTCAAACATCATGAGAAATAAAGGACATTTTACTTTAAAACGTGGCCATTAAATAATCATTTAATAAATAATAGACCATGAAATGAGTTAATCTACAGTCACATTACAAACCAAACATTTTAACACAGAGAGATGACCCCTTATAAATATATTGACCTGTTTCTACAGCTAACAGTAATGCAGAAATGATGAGATGGTATGTTGACGTTTCAAACAATCCTATAACATTTCAAATGAAGAACTAGAAAAAAAGTCACACTTCACATTAGGCTCTGTTATGTCCTAGTTCTTCATTTGATATGTTATAGGATTGTTTGAAACATCAACATACCATCTCATCATTTCTTATACTTACAGTGACACTGAGTATTGTGAACATTACAGTGTTTTGAAAACATATATGAGCATGACAGGAACATACCGTACAGATTGATGTATCGAATGCAGCTCTCAACCACCACTGGAATAGGCTGCCCTGAGTCCTATAGTGCCAGAAAAAATCGAATTATCTCACGTAAATTAACAAAATAAAACAGAAAACAGAATTCCTGCAGGGTGTTATCATCAGAAGCGAGTTAGTTGCTAAATAAATTAACTTCACAGAGTTATGAGAATATTGTTAATCATGATTTTTTTTGTTAAATTATTAATATTATGTGCACAAAACAAACACAAAAACAAAGTGTGTATGTGTTGCAGCACCATGTATATTGTTATATCTACACATCAGGAATCCCAACAGGACAGAGGCACAGAAATGTTGGTTAGCATAACTGAACACAGTGTGATGATCCCGCCGTGCTACAAGACAGAGTACCTGACTCCTGGCACGGACATTCCGTCTTCCCCTGGGCACAGAGCAGTAAGGCACGTAGACAGAGGAAGAGAAGCAACAACAACCACAACAGGTTAGTGGGAGAGACAGATTGTACAGCTGGAGAGTGAGAGAGAGAGTAAGAGGAGGCCTAGCCTGAGAGAAGAGCCAAAGCATCAGTGCCTTGTGGGGTGAGACATGGCTCAGAGGGGAGTGTGTGGGAGGGAGGCTGCTACCCGAGACAACAGGGGTGGGGAAAGGTCTGTTTTGAAACACTGCAGTCTGCATTCTACAGATACAACTATTTTCAATTAATCAGCCCATTATTTTCCTACGTGAATTTCCTACAGCCTGAAGTGGCATTATTTTTTACCCCTGCAAAAGCTAAATATATATCAAAAAATGAAAAGGAGAAAATCATAACGAGCTAGAAACCTGAAACTAGGGAACATTTGGTATTTCTGCCTGAGAAGTTATTTTAATTATTAATCAATTATTGAATTAGTTGCGTGTTGTTTTGTTGACAAATTATTTAAGCTCTTAAGCTCGGAATTCTGACATTTATCTCCACTGCCATTATTGCACACACTATCTGCCTGCCCCTGCTTGATTGAGCATTAGAGTGGATGTAGCCATGTGTGCATTTGCATAGCCTAACGTGTCTGGTGCATGGCCAACTGACAAATATGAAGCCAAATTAATTCTGGAGGCTGCAAGGCTCACAAGAGCAAGACTGTTCTAAAGGAAAAATCTTCCACTGCTGTGATGCTTTTAGAAGAAACCCTCTTTTGGATTTTGGTTTTCCTGACTTGAAAGACAAAGTGAGGACAAGGCAATGAGCAAAGAGGAAAGTCAGTGCATGAGTGAGCCCACATTTGCGTAAAAGAGTGGTCAACGGCAAAAGAACCCCCCCAAGGACTGCTATAGCGAGACAGCTGAGCTCATGGAGAGACAAAGAGCACAGATGGGCTGATACCTGAATGAAGGCCTCCATATTGCCGTTAAACAGCTTATGGTTAAAATAGGAGCGAGGTCTAGACTTCCGCATTCTCTGGGGTTTAGGGGGAAGAGTGGGGGGCCTGGGGAGATGGTGGGGGATGTGTGGTTGGTACATGGTAAATATGAATAATAACTAGACATCAAAATACTGACATTCTAGAATGTTATTCTTGTCATTTCTTTACCAAAGTATTTTACAATAAAACAATTCAACTGAGTTTGGCAATGCTAATAAAGTAAATCAAGTCTATAAACTAAATATAATGTCACAGCTAATGATTGATTAGCTTAGCTTAGCATAAAGACTGGAAACCACAGTTTGTAAATGCCACATTGTAGCTTTACTAGCCGCTTTAGGCTAGCTGTTTATCTCATAGACTGTATATGAAGATGGACGACATGACAGCTACCCAAAAGTGAAGCCAAAGTGTTTCATCGCCACCTTGGTGCCAGCTGCTGTATTGATCTTAAATCCCCTCTCCTCCATGTTATTGGATGGGACATGTCATCGGTAGTTTCTGTCATTTATGGTTGCCTAGTGCTATTTTTTCCGGTGAGTTTGGTTTTAATGTTATCCGATGCTATAAAGAGAGACCAACTTGTGATTGGTCAAGCTTGTGTATTGGAGGAACCTAACTACTACAGCTCTATCCCCCAGATCGCTGCTACACAGAATCTGACTCCAAAGATGGAAGCATTCCGTGTATCTAGGTAATTTTGGCTTTATTTCTGGATAGTGGGAGGAAGTGGAAACACTTCATCCATCTTTACATTCAGTCTAGGGTTTATCCCTGTTTCCAATGTCTCTGAGCAAGAAAGCAAATAATCATGTTTCCAAAAATGTCGATCTTTAGATCAAGCTGCTACAGCAAACTTTATCAAAGTCAGTGATAATGGCTACAAGAAATTATCACACGGAAAATTCAATAATGATTTTACTGCATTTAATGAAATGTCCCAAAGATCGAAAAAAGAAAAAGACGAACCCTTGTATTTAATTAGTTATGAGCCTGCCTTGTCAATATTTGTTTTCTGGCTAATTTATCAATATCTTTTTAACAGAAAAACATCAGGACATTATCCATCTCACTGGCATTTCATTTATTAGTCCTAATATCATTTCTATCGATTAAAAGTAGGAAGAACACCTCTGAGCACCACTTACTATCCAAACAATTTTTCCACAAAGCAAAGTTGAGACTAAACTCCTATTCCCACACTGAGGTCTAATTTCTAACACAATCAGCAACACAGGAAAGATTTTACAGATGATCGCCTACTCTGTTCACTCTCATGTCACTGGACATCTTACCTTGTTGTTCCATATTCTGCCCTCTCCCCTAAAAGGAAAAACAGCAGAGAAAGAGACTAAATTAGTACACGCCACCTTTACAGTCACAGAAGTTAGCAGTACGGTTGAGTGCTGGCTGACTATACAGGGCTGGCAGATGGAGGAGGAAAGGGGCATTATGAGAAAGCGGCCTCTTTTCAGACAGGCTCACTGGGGTGAGCGCCATGGCTGCATTTGACTCACTGCCAGGCAGCGGTCATTTAGCGGTCACCCTAGAAACAGCACAAGAGCCCCCAGAAGGGAATGGCCTTCTCCCCGCTCCGCAGAGTGAAAATGCATCCAGGGGCAACAACAGAAAGAGGCTGTGGGAGCTGCTTTGTCAACTGTGATGAGCTCACGATATCTGCTCTACATTCGCACACTCGTCTCACTGTACACAAGCAAATTAAGGCCTCCACCAGTTAATCAAAAATGTTTGCTCAAGCAAAGCAGCTTCCAGCACAATCCTACTTTATGTTAAACACATTGATTCCAATCTTAAAGCAGAGGCACAATGTGATGGAACACATTCAGGTGAGGTACATTCATATTAAATAAGAAATAAACAAGCAAAGGATGGAACCCCTAGGTCATGCAGAGTTTTTTTTGTGTCTTTTCTACTATTTATTTCCAAAACTGTAAAGACTCTAAAACTTAAGAAGAACACTATTTTGTATTTTATATTCAAAGAAGGGATCTTGAAGACACATTTCAGTACATCCTTATTCACCCCTTTTATGTCACTTTAATGTGCATTAAATATATATACACAAAAACATATAAATTAATTACAGCATGACATAGCTTTTAGGCATAGAAATGCCCATCATGAAATTTTGGTATTTTGTGGAGATTGACCTAAATTTGAAAGTATTTAAGTAAATGAAAGATCCACCGTAACACAAATGTGTATTCTATTTCTAAAAATATGATACTGAATATGTACTGTAAAGCATTTCAGATGTGTGTGACTTGTTTCTGTTGAAGACATATATAAGGTATAGATAACACTTACTGCATATTAAAAAAAATGTTTTAGTTTCTTCTTGTATTGGAGAAGGTTTTTTCTATTATTGACACTTTAACTGCACAATACAAACCATCACCTTCCACTCCACTAGTGTATAACACAAAAAGTCTTGCCTTCTCCAAGTGTCTGCTTCAGAAGGTCATGCTTGGCCTGCAGTTTGACTATGAGGTTGCTGCCATTCAAGTACTCCTTGTATTTCTGCAGATAAAGACATCAATAGTGAGCAGGGTTATCTGTAGTCACAGTGTACGCTCTCTGCTGCAGTGTGTTTGTGTTTGTCTGAGGACTCACAGTGAAGTAGAAGCCCTCAGTCTCTTGGTGATTGGCTCGTCTCTTGGCGACATTGGCCTTGCTCATGTAGGAGTCAGAGGAGGCCGATTTGACCGACTCTGTGGACTGGCTGTGCTGGAAGGCTTCTGATACATCGAAGTCCTCCACGGTGAGCATGTCCTGAAGCGTCTGCATCGTGGCATCGAGAGTCTTCCTCACCTGACACACGCACAGCGGGATGTAAAGTTCATCCATTATTACAATACATTGATGAAACAGATATGGAAGGAGCTAGGTGACTCATATACATTGAAACTAAGAATATTGTAATTATACCTATATTTTCCAAATGCATTATCTTTGCAGTGTTACCAACGAGCAGTATGGTGTAAACAACCCTGCACAGTCTGAGATTTACATCTGCAGGCCATTTGCACAGCAGTTTGACTGACACACTGTAAACATAGTAATTAGCTTCCTTTGCATTACGCATCGTGACATGAAAGATTAACGATATTCCTTCTGTGTGAGGCACACAGGAAATGGAGTGTGCATTTCCATATTTATGACATTTAGGCTCTAACACATCTTGTAAACCTGAACAGGTCTGCGTGAATCACAGTTGCCATGGTGACTCCAGGCATGCAGGCCAGCAAGCACGCTGGGGCGGCCCCCAGGGGAGACAGGACACCCCACAGGTCAGAGTCAGATTAAAGATGGAGGAAGCGAGTCTTTAAGAACAGCTGCTGGCTGTAACATGTTTGATAGTGAATGGTAAATGGACTGTATTTACACAGCACTTTTCCAGTCTTATCAACACATTTACCTATTTACATACACATGGTAATTCACTGCTTCTACACGCAGTTCTTTTTTTTTTTCAATCACACACCATTCATACAGCCGTTAGGAGCAATATGCGGTTCACTTAGTTCGTACGGACTGAGGGAGCCAGGGATCGAACTCTAATGTGCAGACCATGTTACCCTGCAGCTTTAGATTGAGCAACATTCAAGCTTTAACCAAAAAAAAAACAAAAAAACATTCTCATTATAACTTGTGTACTTTGGTAGCTGCAGCTGAGTCTTTTCATCTTTTCATGTTGTCTGATCTGAATCACCATGCGACATCCAGTCATGCATATACAGTACGTGCAGTTGGATGATCTCAATGTTTCCTGCAATGTGTTTGTCATAGCATCATTGAAATTAACTAATATCAATCAAATGAATCATCCTTTAGACTAAAGGAGCAGATGTGTTATTTCATCCACATACAGTATTTAATGAGTGTGGCTTGTTTAGTTTGTCATCTGCTGACTACATTGGTCATGAGGTGGCATGCATCACTACCCAGGTGGTGGACAACATCAGCTAAACAATTTTCTCACAGAAAGCTTGCAGATGAATAATTATCCACAAAGGGTTTAAAATTATGTAATGACCCAAACACTAAAATTAACGACAGATTTATAGCTCAGTATATTTAGCCATCAGGCCCTCTCAGCGGAAAAGGACATGACTCTGAACAGCACATTTGCAGGGAGCTGGCTTCATTCCAAAAGGAAATGCTGACACTAGCAACCTCCAAACCTTTCGGGACTTGTGTGCATGAAGACTCTAACTCACCTCTTCATTTTCTATCTTCAGCGTGGCCAGGCGAGACTGCAGCTGGTGATGGCGCATCAAAAGCTCAGTCTGGACTGGCTGCTGTGCGCTCACCTGAACCACCTGGGATAAAAGAAAAAAAAGGACATTTCTCAGGAAGGGATTTAAAACATGATGAAAATATGAACTTTGACTGAGACTGAGACTTACAATCCCATCCTTCGTCAGTGACTCACCTCATCGCCCATGTGCGGCTGATAGTCAAAGCGTGCGGGAGGACAGAAAATCTGACTGTGTGTGTCCATGAACTTCAGCTTGTCTCCTCTGATGTCCATCGCATCTACCGCTCCTTCCAGTAAATCCAAACCCTCATGGCGAGAAGACTCCAGACTATACTCTGCGGACAGGTAGGTTCTCATGGAGCGTGCCAGGCTTGCATGGTAACCTAAGTCACAACACTTAGGACAAAATGTAGAACGAACAGTAGTTAGAAATCAATAAAACACCTCCAACTAAAACTGTAAATAAGCACTGAATTGAGGCAGGTCTTTATCGATATTTGCATTTTGGCTTACATCTATCATATCTGAGACGTCGTGGATGTAGTATTTGGCCACCAGGGCGTTGGTGGCCGCCAGATTGAGAAGATAGTCGTTGCGGGCCTTTGTACATTTCAGCTTATTTTCAGAGTACTTAGCTTGTCTCTAGGGTGAAAAAGAAAGAGAGGGTCACATCAGTGCAGGGTGTAAAATGGATTCCTAATGTACTCAAAGAATGCATCACAACAATAAACACATTTTATCTCATCAATCTATATACATGACACTACACAGTGTAGAAAATGGGTTTATTATAGCTTTAACTACATAATCCATTTGAGAATATAGCAAGTGCTAGAAAACAAGATGTCCAATATAAATTAACTTTCTATTTGTACTACTGGATAAAAGGCCACTATCATGTACATACAGTATGTCAATCAGAACAGACCTTCTCCTTCATTTTCTCCATCTTCTTCACAGAGCTCCGTCGCTGTGGACGCTCATCATGACCATAACGCAGCAGGCTGGAGCCTATGTCGTTGGACTTGCCAATGTGTTTCTCCTCCTGTTTTTCCGCCTCCTTCAGCTTGTTCTCAGCACTGAGACTCTCGGTATGGTACATGTGGTACGTCTTCATCACCTGAGAGAACATACATCACATTCAGCTCAGTATCAAGGGCATCAAAGTCAAACTAGCAAAGAGGATGGTGACTTTGAGGGGGATAAAAGTGATAAATATCTGATATGAATAACCAGTTAAGTGGATTCATTTCATGCTCTACACACACAGTACAGTCCTATACTATAATGTCAACCACCTAGGGGCCGATATCAATACAAAAGGTTTTTGAAACTACTTTCCAGTAGCAATATTTTTTCATTATAGAGATTCTATGTGCAAAAACACAGGCTGAAATATTTCATTCAAATCTATTGCATTAAGCTGTATGTTAATATAAAAGTTAAAAAGTCATATGGGTAAAATTATGTCATGATCCAGTTCAATATTTTACAGACATAAACATAATCATTACAAAATAGGACATTTTATGGATTGAAACTGAAAGTATTTCATGGCTAAACAGCTGTTTCAACTAGTGTTAGTGCATTTTTATACACTAAGTAAACTGACCATCTTTTGTCTTCTGAAATAAAACAGTTTTATACACAGCCAATATAACACACATTCCTAATGGCATTAGCTTAAATTAGTTATTGAAGGTGTGTACGACTTTGATCATTTATACTTCTTTCCGAGGACCTGTTCAGTTTTACATTGTGCAATGAATGAATCTCTGAATCTCACTTTTTGTTATTTTAGAGTTAAACGTTATGTATTGAAAGTTACAATTATTTCAATATATAATGTGTAAAATAGTCTGTTCTCATACATAATCCTACTTGTTTAAATCATTTGCAGTATTACAAATAGTTTGCAGATGTATGATTGATTTTAAATCCACTCAATCATGTTAAGTTTAACTAAAATAATTAATCTCATATAATCCCTTAATTTTATTTTTCATTACACATGCAAATATTAAGAAGTGTAGTTTCCTCATCATCAGCTTTCTGAACTGTCCTGTTTGATTTTCCTCATCACATCATTCCAGTAAGCAACAGTACTGTATGTTTACCTGGTTTCATAATTCTCCAAATATAAACTAAATTCACACCTACTAATCATTTTGCTGAAGCTTTACTTAAAAGAATAGCTTCTACATGTTCAACCTAAACATCCTCAACATCGTTCTAGTTCCCTGGCAACCGTGACAGGAATGGACGTGCAGAGGACAGTGAGATGGATCAGGAGGAGGACCAAGGTTACAAAGAGACGATGCGCAACCTCTCTGGACGGGTCTTTACCTAATTTTGCATTACATGATTGTCAAACAAATTATACAAGTCTAATACAAGCTATATAAATGTATTAAACCCAAATCTGTCCAGACTACAGCTATTTCTTATACCGTGTGTGAAGGAGATGCAGACAGGCTTTTAATAATGGATGAAGCAGAGAGAGGAAAAATCAATATCAGTAAAGCAGTAAAGTGCTGTATAATGTTACAACATTTCTCATGTGGTTCAAACCATGTGAGTATTTCTACTTCAAATCTATTTGTGAATTTGCTGCACATCCACTCGTCTCAAATATGATTTTAAGAGTGTGAGTGGCGAACATCCACTGGCATTGTACTGCAGTTAAAATGTTATTTCGACATCATGTTATGTTTTGGGAGTTGCTACCTTATCGCTTTTATAATTTTTTTAACGTTAACAAACATGAACCAGGATGGAAAATCCTATGTTTGCAAAATTCACACATCATATCAGCAATGAGCCGCTCTAGGTTTGTCTTCACTACGTTTTCCCCTACTTCAAATATTCCGCTTAAAAGATCATGGATTGCCAAATTTTGGCATTGATTAGATGGGCAGAATGTAGCTAAAGGTGGAGGAAGGGAGTGCACACTGAGGGTGTAGAAAATAATGTGAGGTAAAGCCATTAGTTTTCATTTACATTTTAGAACCAGTATATTTTATATGTTGGTTCCAGAATAATTGTACAATCAGTTTTGACGGGACTGAATCTAAAAGATGGAGAGACATGCAGCAAGGGGCCAGAACCAAACCTGCGGCTCCTGCAGAGGACTCAAGTCTCAGTACATAGTGTTTGCAATAGCTCACCCAGGTGTGCCACAAAATATCTTTAACATCTATGACATAACATAAAACTTTAGAACTGTATTAAACTGCAGTCATGTCCATTTGATACACCTGCAGCTCTGCTGCTTGCTGTGAGAAACTCATCGGATTAAACATTTTAAAACTGCACTTCATCTTACTGTTTGTTTCTAAGCATATCAACTCATTCTTTGCAGAGATTAATTGTTGAAACATAGCTGCAGATCATGATCTCACTGAACAGAAAACATCCAGAAGGAAGCACTCTGTTGAGCTGTGTCCCACATAGACCAGATGGTATCACTGCACCAGTTCAGTTTCTTCAGCCACATTAAGAAGAGGCATCAGCCCTGGACACAGATGTCTGTACTGCCACACAGGCCACTTCTGCTTGTTTAATGTCAGTGCAGTTTGAATGTTGTGTATGAGGGTGCAGTATATAACAATGGACAGATGTGCTGGATAACAGCGGCTCATGTTTGCTGTGAGCTCGGTGCACCGCTGCAGCACAGACTGCTGAGTCTTGCTCAAAGCACAGCCAGAGGGCAAGAACGCTCTCCCCTTCAGCTGATGAAGAAATTCACAGCAGGAGGAAGAATGCAAATGTCGTCCTTTCACGACCTCGGGAGAAGAAATGAATGACCTGTTACAGACTGCGCTGCTGATAAGGCATATCTGCCGAGAGCAGTGTCAGGCCAGCTGCTTCACAGGTTACAGGTTTAGCTCTGAACTGGAATTACATTCTCACCATTGGAGGCCCAAAAATGAGTATTTTGAGGTTACAGTGATGTTAATATGTGACCTTCGAGCATAACAAGCTCTCATCAGTTTACCCTTGAGTCCTAGTGAACGCCTGGGCAAAATTTGAAAAGTTGGAATCTCGGAAAGACCAGTTTTAGGATTGACGAGCCACAGGCAGCAGACAGGGGGAAGGGAAACAGACAGCCTGGTATAGACACGTGAGAAGGGACTTGTTTAACTCACCGTGTAGAGCTCGTTGGTGACTTTCACTAACTCTTCGTGCATTTGCACCCCGATGTCTTTGCTCTGTAATAGGAGAAAACAGGTGACACTTTCAAAAGTGACAATAAAGGATAAAGGCAGGTGTTCAAACATCTACGACAAAAAACTGGGTTATTTAGTAGAATTACCTTCTCACAAATAAAAAGCTTGAAGGTTATGCCAGATATATTTTAAATGGAAGGGATGTCAGCAGAAATTGAAATGCTGTCATTATTATCCTGCACCAGAAAAGATCTAATACAATGCACGAGCAGACAGAAATAGAACCGCACAGTAACTGCAGAACATTTCCCACTGACTGGGAGCCTGAGCTCAGTTACATGGACTAAGAGCGAGTGATGAATTGAACATGTCCCGTGACAGGGCTTGTAGCCCAAGAGCAAGAACTGGGGCCAGTGGAGACTGACCCAGGACATCTTGGTGAGGGGATGTGGAGCGACGCATGGGCCAATCAATCCTGTGTTCTGACACCTCTAAGAGACCACTTGTCAAAACAGCAACTTTGCATTTTCACGTGTGACAAGACTTAAGCTTGAGCACACACTGAACATTTAAACTTTGACTTAACAAAACATTCGACTGATTCATTCCTTTCCCCACATGTTTAGATGAATAACAATGAGTCTGCTCTGCAGCTGAAGCCGGATGCTGCAGCATAACAGGATTATTGTTTTGGAGAACTTTGTCACGATTTGAGCAAACTCCTTGCAGAGGGAAACAGTTTTTTTCCGCAGGCGGTTATTAGTCCTGTTCTTCGCACTGGCAGCAAGCCATCCCGTTCTCATCGAGGAGCCCATCGTGACAGTGCAGAGCCCCCTAGAGGGCATAAATTACTGACTCCTGCTGCTGTCAAACGATACTGATCTAAGATCCCTAAGGCAGATTCTTCATCACAGCCCCTGAACCACTGGCACTCTGCTACTTTAATATGTACGATGCATTAACCACATTCCTTACGAGATATGAGACTAAAACTGAGACACAAACTTAATCTGTGTTGTTGAGAATTTGAACAAAACCAGCTAATTAAAGGATGGGGGAAGAGGTTGGGTGACACGAGTGATGAGGTGTAAAGACCATCAGATAAAGGTTGCCGATCTAAATAGGGAGCAAACTAAGCATGATATTGAGAATGACATTGCACATGATGGGGGAGGTTAAAGTGAGACATTATCGCCTCAGAACAGAAGGCTGACGTGATGCAGGTAAAAAAAACCTCAGAGGAGGATAAATCTGATAACCAGCTTTACATCTGAGTTATGATGTAGCTTAACAAGCACAAAGTGAATGATAGTGAGATAGTGAGAGAACTCCTTAAATATCATTAGTCATGTGAAAAGACAACGACACAGAAAATCTAATCTCAAATTGTCGGTGTCAAACATTGTGTCAGATTAACCCTCTGAGTAAATATGCTGCATGAGAACCACACAGCATAGCATCAGGGGCATCAGTCATGCGATTTTGAGCAGATGATTTCTGTGACTGTGCGCATTAGTGACGGTCAGGGTTACGTGCCCTCGTCCATTTAATTCCAATTCTGACCTTTTTGAAAAGTCTGATGACATCCTCGCCCACGTGTGCCAGACGGACAATGACGTTGTTGTTGTAGATGTCGCTGAGCATGGCGTGGTCTCTGCTCTCCCGTCTGGTCTGGTCCAAGACCAAATACCAGCAGTTAACAGTGGACAGCAGATTCTGGTCCTTTCTGAAAAACAGCCAAGGAAAAATTTTGTTAGCATTAGTTTAGCGTTGCTGCTTTAAACGTTTGTATCATGGACAAAGATATAAACACTGGTAAATTAAATAAGCGATTTTGTTGCGTGTAGACCAATGAATCTGCAATATTCACAGCATACAATACAAGTCCCACAAACAGGCAGCAGAAACTAGATGATTCTCTTTTTTTTTATTACTGTCTCTCAATAAAAATGTAAAAAGCCTCTTAAAGGTACAGTGTGTAGAATTTAGAGAAATCGAGTGTTGAAATGTCATGTTGCAGCTGAACACCCCTCACCTCACCCTCCCCTTCCAAACACGAAAAAGAACCTGTGGTAGTTTCAGTTGTCATAAAAACATGGCAGCCTCCATAGAGAGGGTCCCCTCGATGTAAATATAAAGTATTTAAATATAAAGTACTTAAATATAAAGAGTCTTTTCTGGGGAAAAGAAAACTATAATTCATACAATTTAGATGAAACCAACTGGTGAAAACATCATGAGGATTATTCTACATTAAATTTCTGCCAATAGATCCCGTTCACCTAAATCTTACACACTGGACCTTTAAGTTCTAAACATGGCAGCTGTTTTAAATCAACTCTCATGAAGTACCGTGGTACTTGAGCATTGGTCGGTAAAACGTCTGAACTCGAACATGAAGCAGGATGAATTCTATGAACTGTACCAGCTCTGGGGCTTTATTTCATGTTAGAGGTCAAGAGGTCACTGCACATGTGGCGAGGTAGCAGGAAAGAAAATGAGGCAGAACACACACACACACACACACACACACTGACACGCACAGAAGGCATGCTGGCTGCACTTGCTTCGTTGCTCAGAGGAGCATGTGAGTTCAATTATCCTCACACCAAAGAGTTTGTTTGTCTTCTTCCTTTCGTCTGGTTTGGTCTTTAGAAAACATTTTCATGTTGTTCCAACAATTGTGACAGAAATATAAAAAAATGCTGTATCATATTATTTTTATACACAGCCATCTTAAAAGCTGCTATGTCATACTGAGATCAAACTCTGACTATTTCTCCTTTAATCACTGCTGAACGCAGAAAAGTGAAGCTGCCGTAAATGATTTTAACACTTGCATGTCATGAAGTGGACATTCA